CCCGGGTTCGCCTCTCCCGCCCGGTTAACGACCGCTTGGAGGGGGCAGATGCGGGAAGGAGACGAAGCGAGGCTTTCGCGAAGTTGGCAGCGTCAGGGTTAATTAGGAGCGAACAGGGGCGGGATGCTGTGAGGATGGGAGTCCCCTTCCCCGTACGTCTCTCGGATTCAGGGAGGTCCCGGGAGGCTAGGGATGGGAGCAGTCAGATGGGGGCGTCCTGGATCCCGAGCCCTAAGTCTTAGCCTTCCTACACCCAGGGCTGTATGGCCGTGTGCGGGCTTCACGTTGAGTCCCGAAAGTGCCCACCTGGGAGAGGGAGGTAAAGAAACCAAAACAGTCGGGAATTAAGTTATGGAAAAGGAATAGGGCATCTTCTAAAGAAAAAAAAGGATGCCGTTTCCCTGCAGGAAAGAGCTCCGGGAGAGCGCGTCCGAAGCAGCGGCAGGGACAGGTGCCCGCTCTCCCCAGGAGGTGCGGGGGTCATCCCTGGCCACCTCTGGCCAGTCCCAGTCAGCACCAAGACTGTGCCGTCCACTCCGCTCCCCTTCCTCTTCCACCGCCCACTCACTCGCTTGCCTTTGCCCCTCTCAGAAACGGCGGCTCTTTCCATTAGTGAAAGCTGCAATTAATGCTCTCATCTCCACGAAGCAAACACATAATCCCATCCCCAGGATCCGACCTGTGACCATCTCACCCAGCAATGACTGCTCCCCTTAAACAGAGAAGGAAATTAACTCAGTTCTAATTAGGTGAGTTTGCTGCAGACACCAATTTTCATCTCGGTTTCAGAAAGTGTGATCGTTTCAACTATTTTTGTTTCTCACCACCCTCCTCCCCATCCCTACTCTACTAACAAGTCAAGATCCTGCCAAGATTTCCTTGTAAATAAAACTGTCTGCATGGAGAGTGATTCTGAAACCAGCCTTCAGGGGACAGAAAGCCAGACTCCTTTGTGGAAAGAAGCCCAGGAGGATAAGAGGCTCTGAGGGCCCTGGGGTCATGGCACTGCCTCCCCTACTCCCTGCTGTCCTTCGCATGACCTGCATGGGTGCTGGTTCTGTTACACTTGAATATCTGGGGCTGCAGAAGTGGGCAGGGGAGCCTGGATCCAGGGGAACTGGAAGGAAAAGGGCACAGAGAGGGGCTGGCCACTCTGCTGGGATGCCCAGCTGCCCTGGACAGTGTTCTGACTCTAGCAGTCCCTGGGTTTCCATCTCTTCTCCACCCCGTGGGCAGCTCTTATCATGTCCACCCTGGCTGGACATGCTGGCTCATGCCTGTAATCCCAGCACTTTGGGAGGCCGAGGCGGGAGGATTGTTTGAACCAAGGAGTTTGAGACCAACCTGGGCAACACAGTGAGACCTCGTCTCTACAAAACATTCAAAAATTAGCCAGGGGTAGTGGGACACACCTGTAGCCCCAGCTACTAGGGAGGCTGAGGTGGAAAAATCACCTGAGTCCAGGAGGTCGAGGCTGCGGTAAGCTGTGACGGTGCCACTGAACTCCATCCTGGGCAACGGAAAGAAACCCCAACTCTAAATAACCTAACAAAAATGTACCCAACTCGATCATCCCTTCAAATAGAAGGGAACATAGTAGGCTCCGTTCAGTTTCTGAACATTAATTGAGCTCCTACTAGGTACCAGTAACAGAGCTTTAGGAATACAGAGATGGGTATGATCTAGGCCCTGCCCTTTAGAAACAGATAATTGGAGTGACAGCTCTGTTCAACACAAGGATAAGTAAGACTTGGATTCAAGGGAAGTCTCAGGGTGTAGAAGTCCAAAGGAGAGGGTTCCTGTGGGTCCAGAAAGGCTTCTCAAGAGATATGTCCCCAGCATCAGGCAATGTGGGGAAGGCGAAGGGGGAGTGTTCCAGACAGAGGGAACAGCATGGACAAAGGCTGGAGGCGTGGAGCAGCATGATACTGGAAGCCAACTGCAAGCAATTTGGCATGGCTGGAAGCTGAAGCAAGCTGCCCAAAGCAATGTGCCCCACTGGTAGGAAAGAGTTGTGAAGGGCTATGAGTTTCATGAGAAAAGAGCTTGGTCTTTACCCTAAGGGCAGCAGGGAGCCATTGAAGGATTGTGAGCAGGAGAGTAATCTTTTAAAAGATCCGTTTGGCTGGAGTGTGGACTCTAGACAGGAAGGAGATTGGCCTGAGCTCAGGGACATGGGAGGTGCTGCCCAAGGACAATGTCATGAAGGTAGCAGCAGTGAGAATAAAAGGGAGGAGGACCTAGGAAATATTCAGAAGGGCATCTTATTCCTCCTGCCACCCCTAGGAACATTTACCCCGCCCTGGGAGACAGTGTTCCCAGAGGTCTCCTAGGAAAGAATTCCAGACCTCTTGCCAGAATCCTCCCTTCAGAATCCTCCCTTCACTGGCCTTTGCTGGAGGGAGAATGGCCATTTGGACTTGGAGGATATCAGGATGAGTTGTGACATCCAGCATCCTCCATGATCCTGAGGCCACCGTCTCACCTGTGTTACCTAAGTATCCAGCTCACTCTGCCTTCAGCCCCAGGTGAATCTGCAACTAAGTAGAGCCCACTTCCCATGGGCAGTGAGACATGGAGCCTGGGGCCATGGCCTAGAAGTCTCCAGGGACAGGAGTGGCTGGGCTACCTGATAGCCTTTGTTCCACTCTCATCTGTGACAGCCTAAGGACTGACACATTCTGCGCCATATTTGGGACAGAGGAGGGGATGGACATGGCATTTGCTCACTTTCCCCGACTCACTGCTGTAGGCCAGATACTTGTCAATGCCTG